CCATCATTACTACATATAACATCATCCATCATCACTACATATAACACCACCCATCATCACTACATGTAACAACATCCATCATCACTACATATAACATCATCCATCATCACTACATATAACACCATCCATCATCACTACATGTAACAACATCCATCATCACTACATATAACATCATCCAGCATCACTACATATAACACCATCCATCATCACTACAGATCCGTAAAGTAGTTTCCGAGATTCTTGTGCGGACACACAAACAAACACACCACACACAAACAAACAAACAGACATACTTCTTTGATTTATATAGATAGATAGATTAGGAAACAGTCCTGAACTGTTTAAATAAAATCCTCTGATTCTGAGTTACCTGTAAGGTCGATCCAATCTATTTGGCTAAAGTTAAAGTCGCCTAGTATACAGACATTGCTATGCATGGAAGCCCTGCGCATTTCATCCCAAATAACTCGCTCAACTCTATCAAGATTAGGTCTATATATTACTCCTGCGATAAATTTTTCCCTTTCATCGATTAATTCTATCCAAATTGTCTCTGTATTCAGTTCAGTTTTTTTCCTTATTTATTTCACATTTCAGATTATCCTTGACATATATTGCTAATCCACCTCCTTTCCTAATCTGCCTATCGGTATGGAATAATTTGTAGCCTGCAATTTGGTATTCGGCAGGTAACTCTCGTGAGACTAAGTTTATCCATGTTTCGGTGAATGTTATTAGGTACTCAGTGATTTATGATCTACTCGACTTACGACCACCCGGACATACGACAGCAGTCGTATAAAATATTTTTAAAATTACGTATTTTCGAGTCCCTACGTTAGTGATCGCGCTGTGTATTTACAAAATTTTCGTTTGTAATTCCCTTTAAAATGGCTAGCAAGCTTAAAAATGAGAGTTCTCGTGGTGCTGAGAAGAAAAAGAGACACCCATTTTAGATTTTCTATCTATTATTTTTGCATTTTCAACTTATGACCAATTCGACTTACGACCTGGTCGTTGGTCCCTAACCCCGTTGTAAGTCGAGGACTGACTATATCGACTTTTTCGATACATACCAATGCCCTAATTTCAGTTAGTCATGTTCCTAGTCCTCTCTTTGACGCGTTTAGGATTTAACTCCCAACCTAGTTTAGCTTTGTCCTCATTCCTAGCACTATTTCCCTGCAACCTTTCACTTTGCTTACCCGCTCCCACTGCAGTCTCCTCCACCTTCGTGCCCATATATTCCCTAGCAGTTTAAAGACTTCGACATCTTTTGAACTGCCCTCTCGAGAAAGCCAGCTAGGGTTGCCACCCCATCCCTAGACAGATGCACCCCATCCCTAGCATAAAGGTCCCTTCTGCCATAAAAGTTGTCCCAATTGTCAATGAATGGAACTGATATTGACTTGCAATATCTGTCAAGACGGCCGTTGACACAAACTGCCCTTGACAACCATTCATTGCCAACCCTCCTTCTAGGCAGGACACCACATATGATAGGGATCCCTCCCTTCAACCTAATACGTTCAATAGCTGTCTTGGATTTATCAAGGAGCTCCTCACTCCTACACCGGCCAATATCATTGTCTCCTGCACTGAGGCAGATAACGGGTTTGGTCTCATTACCAGACAAGATATTGTCCACTCTGTCAACTATATCCCCCACCCCAGCTTCTGGCAAACACATCCTCATCCTATTTTTATTTTTACCACAAAAAGCTCTATCCAGGTACCGTACCTGGGAATCTCCAAAAATTAAGGTTTTCGTACCTTCCTTGTCAGCGACTCCCAGGTACTGTACCTGGAAATCGAACTGCTTGTATTTGTCCAGTCGCCAGAATCATCGTGAATACACCTTACTATAGTGGTGAGGTAGATTGTAAGGTGTATGAAGGATGCCATTTGTCACCCCATCATAGGGAACATCCGGGGTGCGACACAGAATCAGACTTCACTCGGGCAGATGGGGTAATGTTGCTGAGAAATCCTGTAACGAGGAAGAATCTTCACTTGGGGAACTTCACAACACCTTTTCTACCTCCTATGAAGACCCATTCCTCGACATGATGGTAACTGATGCTCACTTTGGAGGAGCAGTAATGACACGGTCACAAGGGCGGAAATGGAAACAACCAATGCTCCCCCTTAAAGTTCTATTAGAAGGAGAGGGACCTGAATGTATCATTACCACTGAGGAACAGGAATCGGACGAAAGTTTACAAGGATTGTCACTGTACGCCAACACCATTCTCAGGACGGTAACTTACACCTTGTTAAAGAAGGGGAACTTTGGTATAGGATACATAACAAATATAGTAGTGAGGTAAAGCAGTTGGTGCCTTTTCAGCGTAGAAAGAAAATTCTCACGCTAGCTCATGAAGGTCTAATGGGAGGTCATATGGGGAGTAAGAAAACTGAGGACAGGATATTTTCTAGGTTCTACTGGCCAGAGGTAGTAGCCGATGTCAAGAAAGGGTGTAAAACTTGTGATGTTTGTCAAAGGACTATACCCAAGGGAAACGTTAGTAAAGTCCAATTAGTATCCATACAACTGATAACCACTCCATTTCAAACTGTTGCTGTTGATATAGTAGGTCCCTTTCATCCAGAATCTTCACGAGGCAATCGTTACATTATACCTTTTGTAGATAACTCTACAAGGTGACTTGAGGCAGAACCTTTGCCAGACATCACAACGGAGAGGGTAGCTGAAGCACTTATGGGGATATTTTCGAGATTGGGATTCCTGCAGATCTTAAGTGACAGAAGCTCACAGTTTACGTCGGCTTTAATATATGAGGTATGTCGCTTAATAAGTGCCAAGCAGGCCTTTACCACTCCCTATCATCCTATCGCTAACGGTCTCAATGAGAGATTCAATGGTACCCTAAAGTCTATAATTAAGAAGATGTGTCAAGAACGTCCTACTGACTGGGATAGATTCTGAGGTAGTAGGTAGTAGGCAGCTACCAAACAGGGAGGTACTTCCGCCTGGGAAGAAATTGGAAGCATAATGTATTGTCTAATGGTAGACCCTGCTGCCATATGGCATCACAAAATTTGTGACCAAGTCCCATGTTGCTGATCTGACTTTCTGCCCCATTTACACACAATTGCAGGGTCTCAATTGTTTCTCTTACAATTGACAACGCAACATATATACAGTATATAATTTCTCACTATTGATCTTTTTTACATTTTTATATTTCTTTATTATTATTATTATTATTATTATTATTATTATTATTATTATTATTATTGGTAGTAGTATTAGTATTATTATTATTATTACAGTGTTGTTATTATTATCATTAATATTTTATTTTTTATTTTTCAAATTTGTATTAATGTATGTATTATTAATTATATTTATTATGAATTATTATTATTATTATTATTATTATTATTATTATTATTATTATTATTATTACATTTTCGCTCCCCAGGCCCGATGTGGGTTAGTGACCTGTGCCAGGGTGGGCTAATCCCCGCAAAAAAAAAAAAATAAAAAAACTTACCTGCTGTGTTGTTTGCTTATAGGCAGGTTCCTCAGGCTAGCACAGGCTTCTCATCTCTCGAACTGTTGTATGGACGTAATGTAAATGGTCCTCTTATTATATTGAAGAAGTTGTGGATCGGTAAAGAACAAAATCAAGAAATACATAACACCAATACCTGTGTGAGGGAATTAAGGAACATACTATAGGAAGTTTGTCAACTTGCACATGAAAATTTGAATAACTCTAATAAAATTAAAAAAGCACCATTAAGAAAGGAAAGCTAGACAACGTACATTTGAAACAGGGGATAAAGTACTTATACAGTTACCAACTGATACCAACAAGTTGTTAACCAATGTGACTACAGAGATATGCTAGGAGATGGCAAATGTAAGGTGTTCCTTGCCAACCTTCTAAGGAAATGTGAGGTGCGTGTTGAAATTGTAGCCATTTCAGTTATTTCATACAGTTATATAGATGATGATGACGAATTGTTACAGTTGTCAGAGGTAAAGGGAACGGAATCTTTAACAGATGTAAGACAATATACAGGTACAGTACTGCATCATTGTAGTGCATATTTTGACTCAAGTTCAGGACTAATAATCTGAGAATCTTTAGTAAAATTTCTTATCCTAGAATTGGATTTGTAAATATAGTTATGTTGTATGTTTTTCGGAACAAATAAACAAAAAAAAAACAGAAAACCGAGCATGTGGAGAATATCAATGAATAGGGGAGGTCGTGTTCTCGACATCTCTGTAAACACGTTTTTGAGAATGTGGAGTCTGTAGAAGGATGCCCACGAGACATATTGTACAATATTCGCTTAATGATTTATCGTTAGTTTGTAGGATATTTGTAACTTGAAACCAGGGAAAAAGTGAGCTGGTAAACGGCTAACATGCTCTCTCTTTGTCTGTCATTCACAGCGGGGTTCTTCACAGCATACGCAGTGTTAATGCTGGTGGTGGCGTTGCCCCTCTGTGTTCTCGAGCAAATTCTAGCACAGTTTTCCTCCCTCGGCGTCATCACCATCTTCCGGTGCCTCCCTCTCCTCACAGGTCAGTGCCTCTCCTCACAGGTCAGTGCCTCTCCTCACAGGTCACTGGTGTGTTGTGTCAAGGCTTGATGGTGACATGGTAAACAAGAGATCCAGGATGATGACTGGTGAGACAATAACGACAACAGGAAGCAGCTGGTATGGGTGAGGGAAAACTGAGCTAACAGTATCAGTGGCCTCATGGTATCTTCTGGAGCACCAGGGTGGCCTCATGGTATCATATGGAGCACCAGGGTGGCCTCATGGTATCATATGGTGCACCAGGTTGGCCTCATGGTATCATATGGAGCACCAGGGTGGCCTCATGGTATCCTGAGGGTGTTAACAGCAAATAATGAGGACAGGAAGTCAGAGATTATGAGATTCTGTGGTAGAGGATGAAGAGCGGTGGGGAAGGGTAATGGTTTAGGTTGGGAGGATATATTGGTGCAATGGGCATACCTGGCGGTCATAATGCTGCCTAATTGTGGACAATAATTCTATGATTATATTTATCATTTTTAATTTTCTTATTCTTGGTGCAGGTAACCTCATAATATATTTGTAGTAATGTAAGTATGTCACTGGAGGATATTGTCATTACAGGTGTAGGCGTGGGAATGGTGGCGTGGTGCGTGGTAATGATGTTGTACAGTAGCACGGTGTTAACATGGGCTGTGCACTACACTTTCGACTGCTTGAGTCAGAAGGTACCTTGGGCCACATGTCCCC